AAAATCATCAATTCTAAATGCAAATAAATTCTAATTATAATAATAAATTATAATAGTTTTACATCAAAAAATCATATTATTAGTTTTATCTGTTTTTCACGTTCAGCAACCTGTTAAATTTCTGTTTTATGTTTTATATCTATAACCAAGTTAATGCAGGAGAAATCCACTTTTTTTTCCCAGTCAGTGTTTAATCCAGCTGCAAAATCAATTGTGAAAATATTTATGATGTGCTTCATTTTTATTTAGCATATCATTTTAAAAAATCCTTCATTTTATGAAAACACCCTCTTGATTCAAGAGAAAACTCTGGTTTTTAAGAAACTGGCTGCTTATTAATTAACTGTTAGTCAATCTATAAGATATATCAACTTCAGATTAATTTATTAATCGATAACTTGCATCCTTAATTTATACAGGAATTAAATGAATTTATATCGACTCATATTTATGTAAGTAAGTGTTTTAATGATTTGGCCGATTAATCGAAAAAAATAATCGATTATTAAAATAGTCGTTAGTTGCAGCCCTAGACACAAACTTGTTTATATTTTAAGGCGTTTAATAAATAAAGACATTACAATAAATCTGCTGGATGTGAAATATGCATTTACCTACATATTCAGTGGCTATTTATTTTATTTTATTTTATTATTATTTTGCTGCACTGGAGTGACAGATAAAATCCAGTTTTAAGAAGCACAAATCAAGATTAGCTTATTTAAAAGGCATGATTTTACTGCCAGTTGTTGTCTGTGTGTTGGGTGAGGGACAATGTTTGTATAATTTGTCTTGGCTCTCTCTTCAGGCCCGTTGGTGAGAGGCCRATGAGGGGTCGCGGCGGCGGCGCCAGGGGAACCCGTGGAGGCAGAGGACGCGGCATGGGTCGTAGTGATGGCTTTGATTCCAGAGGAAAACGTGAATTTGACAGACACAGTGGCAGTGACCGATCGTAAGTACTGATGTTAGCTGTKGCTCCGTGTAAAGTTATTTTAAACTACTATCTAAAACACACAGTGTAACCCCAAAAATGATCTATAAAGTACATATTGTGCATGAGTAAATTTTGACTGAATTTTTTTAATGTACAGCTACAATAATTTACAGTGTGTTCTGGTGATTGTTTCCTCAGAGGAGGAAAAACTTTTCTTTTTCTTGTTAACTGCAGCAATGAAAGAAGACAAACATTAGTTGCATTTACTAAAACATCCATCTTGTTCTTTTAACAACTGTCTTCTGCTCTGGTCTGGGAGCGGATTGTTGTTTTTTTTTCAGTGACGCACAACCAGAAACTCGCATGTTTTAATCAAGTAAATGTTTTATAATTGTGACAAAAGCAGATTATTAAATTTTCCTTTTTTTTCCCTCAGTACTCTGAAAGGTGAGGACAAGCGTGGTGGAAGTGGATCTCACAACTGGGGCACCGTCAAGGATGAACTTAAGTGAGTACTTGCAAGTAAAAAAAATATAGGGAATCTGAAACTTGAAGGATTTGATTTCAGTTGTTCGTAAAGCTTTGTGTTTAAGTTGAGCTGTTTTGTGTTTCAGTGAACTTGACCAATCTAAYGTCACTGAGGAGAACCCTGAAGGAGAGGAGCATCCACCTGCTGACTCTGAAAATAAGTAAGAGACCTGTCTATAATTTTATCACTGCAATAATTACAATGACCTTTAGCTTGTGACGGTGTTGAGACGTTGGTGCTGACGTTTACCTGTTGGTGTTTTGAAGAGAGAATGAGGTCGAGGAACCAAAGGAAGAAGGCCCAAAGGAGATGACTCTGGATGAATGGAAAGCCATGCAGGACAAAGAAAGGGCCAAGGTGGACTTCAACATCCGAAAGGCCAACGAGGGAGCTGACTGGAACAAAGGATTTGTGCTGCACAAGTCCAAGGCTGAAGTAAGTCAAACGCATTGTTTGTTTAATAAGAAAACTGTGTTTGGATTAATTAATCATGTAAACTATTGTAGAAATTAAAGCTCAGTCATCTGTAACCCCCTCCTTTTTTAAATAATGGGCCTCATGCAGGAACATGTTCGTATTCTTATCCTAAATTTCTCTTACTTTTGTTCGTACAAAGGGTTCGTACGAACATGTCACGTCA